CCTGGGTAGTCTGTTCCATGTCGCGATCTACTTCTCTTCAGTGTGGTAAGGGGTATATCCCGGACTGGCTGGGCAAAGTGGTTGTTGCTGATTGTGGGGGAGGATGCAGTGGATGAGGTTGATACTGTGTTTGGGGTGGATTTCGGGCTTATGACAACAATCTGTCACCCACTAACCACCCCCCTTTTTTCCTCCTACGCATGGAGAGACATCAATGGTCTCTTAGAATATGAGCTAATTCCTTACACTAAACAATCTGTTCCGCTGTGCGCTTGGAGCGTCTTTTCCAGCCCTGACAAAGAGCTCGGCGCGGCTCGAAAGCTTGTCTCGATCCCCCACAGAAATTGATCCGGTCAAAGGATTCCCTCCCGCACTTTGTCCATGTAACAGGCTGTCAACCAGGGTGTTTTCCCTTCAAAAACTCACTCCAGCTCCAGGGAAAGGCAACATAGGAGGACGTTCAAAGCCTGACTCAAGACTTCACATTTCAAGGGCTTTAACTGGCTTCCCTGCTTCTGTGTGTTGGGTTAAAAGGATTTTCGATGGTGCATTTGCCATTGTGCTAAGCAGCCTGAGGTCCTTGACACTAACGCTGGATTGCGACTAGGGGCTTTTATTCCAGCGAAAGGAATACAACAGTCGTGCTGAGCTCTGCCCATCGGACGTGGACTTGGATCTGCCAGGAAGAGACCGACTCTGCTGTGGGACCTTGCTGTGCCGCGCCTGGTCACTTCAGCCTTTTTCCGGGATCTGCATCCCTCCCCATTCTCACTAGCCAAGGGTGACGGCAGCCCCAGTGCAGTCCCTGGCCCTGCTGGGAGAGGCAGGCTCAGCCCCAGAGCAGCAGTCTTTCTCCCAGCTCCCTTCCTCTCCAAGCACCATGTTCTCACTCCCCAGGGAAATGCCCAGCCCCCTTTTGAGTCCTGCTAGGTGCTGGCTCTCCCCAATGCCTTGTGGCAGTGAGTTCCACAGCCCGCGTGCGCATTGTGTAAAGACGTGACACCCCCACACCCAACCCAGTCACACGCTGGCCATGGATGGGCAGCTGGAGGGGATTTAACATTATTTAATAAATACATCGGAAGAGCATGAGGGTGTGAAAGCCCAGCCCTGAAGTTAGGAGATGCCAGAGTGAAGCTTTCCTGCCATCCCTTGGTCCCTTGGGGGTCGGCATTAGGATCACACACTGTACTTCCCACAGGTCCCCGCCTCCTTGGGGGCACAGGACGGCCAGGGCCGTGGGGACAAACCCAGCTGTGCTCGGCAGGACTGGCTGCAGGAGGGTGAAGGTGCGCATTGAACGAGACGGGGATTGGGGGAGGATGGGTTCATGGGTAAGGCAGCTGACTGTTGCCTGGAGAAGTGGCGTCTGCCCGTCTCAGCGGTTGTGCGCGATGCTTAGCCAGTCACCTCCCTGGAGCTGGCTCTGGGCCTTGCCCATCCTCTACTGCGCACGTGAACCACAACTGCTCCAGGCTTGTCACTTGCTGACTTTCCATGGGAACAGCAAAAGGGACATCCCTGGCTCCAGTCCCTGCGCCAAGGCAGGGAGCTTCCCAACAACCCAGCAGAATAGTCTCCCCGGGGCAAGCAGGCGCATTTCCGCTGACCCCGCTCGGACACGGCTGCAGCAGCTGCTGAAGCTTTCCAATAGGGTTCAGCGTGAGGCAGACACCCAGCGGGGGAACTGCAGCCTGGTAAGGCTCTAAGCTACGGGAACCAGACACTTTTACAATGGGACGGCCAGGCCCCGTGGGGCATCCAGGCTGTCGGCTCTGCCTACAATAAATACAGCTATAGGTCAAGGCAAGTGCACTCTTGGGGCACACAGAGCTACGGGCTCTGCCCAGAAAGCTCTTCGGACTGGGAGACGGGGGGTGCGGTCAGAGCCCCGCGGGCTCTGCTGGGATAGCTGGTCAGCCCCAGGCTTCCTGCTTCTCCCCCTGCACAGCTCGAGGTGTGTTGAATGGGGGGGGGACACTCTGGACCCCAGCCCCAGGCCAGGGGACGCTCTGGACCCCAGCGGCTGCGCATTAGGCCAGGAGCCCCAGGTGCGAGGGGAGGCCTAGAGGGCAGGGGGATCACTTCGCTGTGAGTGAGCTCAGCGGCGCCTGCAGCACAGAACACGCACCAGCCGGATCCCAGGCCCTGTCTGCAGCACTTCAGCTTTATCTCTCCAAACACACCCGCCGTGTCCCTCCCCCAGCCCGGGGCTGCAGGGGCCGATCTCCCCCCAGCTCTGGCCGCTGGAGCCCCTCAGCCTGGGGGTCGAGTGGAGCCAAGCTGGGGGCTGGCCCCTGGCCCAGACGCTCCTGAAGGAGCCTCCCAGCTCTCAGCCTACTGAGCACTTGCTGGCTCGCCTGGGGCCCAGGTAAGCACCAGCCCCTGAAACACCAGCCTCAGCGGGGAGGTTGTGATTAGCCACGGCGGGCTGGCCCTGCCTCTGCTCCAGCAAGGCGACCTATGCAGCCGGCCCTGTACTGGAGCAGAGCCCAGGGGGATGCCTGGGTCTGGCCACAGGGCTCCAGCAACCACTAACAGCTCCCTCCTGCAGGAGCTCCACACCTCTGGGGCCAGGGCCCCTGCCCATCCCCTGGCCACGGGGGCAGGCTCTGAGCCAGGGCACAGGCCTCCCACATCTGGGCAGCTTGTTGTGGGGGTGGGGTTTGGGGGGAATGGGCTGTTATTTCAGTTGGAAGGGGGGCGGCGTCAGCGCTGCGCCAGCGGCTGGTTCTCTGCCGGACGCCGCTCTGGAGCCTCTCCGGGCAGGTGTCTCCTCCAGCCCCACACGCTCGGGGCTCTTCGGCCCCCAGCACTGGACTCCGCGTTCCAGCAGCCGCCTCCCCGGGGCCGTGCCGAGGCAAAGCCCCTCACAGCTGGGCGTGTGGCACGACAGCCAGCCCCCCTCCCCCTCCGCGGCCACATCCAGGGACTTCCCAGCCCAGCTCAGCAGCCTCTTCCCTGAAGGGCAAACGGGGCCGAGGGGCCCAGAGAGAATTGGGGGCACCAGGCAGGGCTGGGACACGCACCCGGCAGCAGGGCAGCAGCAGAACCCGCAAACCCCATGTGCTCAGACACCCCACTAGCCCTTCGCCTGCCAGCACCACAGCCGTGCTTTGAGTCCAAAGCTGCCGTTCTCCCAGCACTCAGACAACGCCCAGTAGCCCAAGTTGGCCACCCTGGGTTTGAGGGGCCCGGCCCTCCCCTCCCTCTAACACTGTGCCCTGTCGGCACGCTGGGCCCCTCCTGGCCACGCTCAGAGCTCCCTTGGCAACGCTGCCCCTTTGCTGATGGCACGAGGCCTGGTAGAGGGGCTAGGTACCCCAAGAGGTGGGGCTGGCGCTCCGTGCCCCGGCCGCGTGGGCTCGCTGGTGGATGATGAGGAAGCCGTTGTTCTTGAAGCCTTTCCCACATTGGGCGCAGGTAAAGAGCCTCCCGCCGCCGGGCAGGGCCTGGCGCTCCCGCCCCTCGGCCTCGGGGGCCGAGTGCTTCCGCTGGTGCATGCGCAGGTAGCCCTTGTACTTGAAGCTCTGCTGGCACTGTGGGCAGGTGTAGGTGGCCGGGGGGGCGTGGCTCTGCTGGTGGATGGCCAGGTTGGCCTGGTGCTGGAAGCTGGTGCCGCACTGGGGGCAGGGGTAGGGCCGGGGGGTGGCGTGCTCCCGCTGGTGGGCCACCAAGCTCTGTTTGTAGCAGAAGCCGTCCCCGCACTCGGGGCAGCGGTAGGGCTGGGTGCCAGCATGGCCGCGCTGGTGCCGCACCAAGTTGCGCTTGTGGCGGAAGCTGCGCCCGCACTGCTGGCACTGGTGGGGGCCCAGGTCCGGGTGCTGGCGCTGGTGACAGGCGAGGTTCCGGCGGGACGGGAAGCGGAGGCCGCACTCAGAGCAGGCAAAGGGGCGCTCGCCCGTGTGCGTGCGCAGGTGGGCACGCAGGTCCCCGCGCTGTAGGAAGGCTCTGCCGCACTGCAGGCACTTGTGGGGGCGCTGGCCGGAGTGGGCGCGCTGGTGCACCACCAGGCAGGTCTTGTAGCGGAAGCCCCTCCCACACTGGGCACAGGCGTAGGGGCGCTCGCCCGTGTGCACGCGCTGGTGCGCCACCAGGCTGGCTCTGTGCTTGAAGCCCTTCTGGCACTGGGGGCAGCTGAAGAGCCCGGCCCCCTGCCCAGCGTGGCCTCGCTGGTGGGCGATCAGGGCCTCGTGATGCCCGAAGCTCTCCCCGCACTCAGTGCAGATCAGCAGCACGTCCCCGACACGGCCGCTCCCCGGGGCCAGGAGCTCCCCACAGCCCAGGCTCTGGGACGCGCTCTCTGCTTTCACTGCCCAGGATCCTGGCGTGTCGCTCTGCTCCTCTCTGATGTTCCAGCCCCCAGCGCCTGCGGCGAAAACAGAATCAGGCAGGAGCCCAGAGCAGCTGGGATGCAAACCCCCCATGTTGGGCCAGAGCCCCCACACCCCAGCACACCCTGCGGGGATCCCCAGCTCCACCTCACCCCCTGCAGGCCCCCCTCTCGCCCTTGGCTCCCCACGCCCAGCCTGTGGGCATCTCCCAACTGCTCTGGCACCAGCTGCGAGCAGGAGGTGTTGGAGTCGTTCTGGGCGGTGCCTTCAGGCAGGGGTTTGTCCTGGGAGTGGAGACGCTGGGGCCAGGACTAACCCAGGGTTCGCGGCACTGAGGGCTGCCCCAGGAACTCCACGAACAGCCCAGCCTGAGTACTGCCACGACGCCTGCTCCCCAGAAAGGGTGGGCCCGGGGCTGGCTCAGCACCCCACAGGCCAGCTCCAGCCAGGCTGCTGCACCTGGAGCACTAGTGCGGGGTGCCCGTCTGCTGGCATTTTGCTACCAGGGCGGTGCCCCCTGCACTGGGTCAGCATCACTCACCCGCGCCAGGAGCATCTGGGATTCCTCTGCCCCCAACACTTGGCTCCATCTCAGAGGCACCCTCTGGGGCGGGATCTGCAGAGACACCGAGGTCACAGGTACGTTCCCTGGAGACGCTGCCAGGCGGCTTTGGAGTGGGAAGGGGTGACGGCTGGAAGGTGTGACCAGGAGACGGGCAGTTAATTCACAGCTCCCCAGCCAGGTGTGCTGTGTTCCGGGCGGGTCTGGTTCAGGCCAGCAGACGAGCCGGGTTTCAAGCTCGGCAGTTCTGGTGGAAGCACCAGCCAGGCAAGTGGGCTGGGGGGAGTCGAGTGGGTGCATTGCTCCCTAGGCCCCCAAGCATGCAGCAAGGGCAGCTTTGCTGTCCCAGCTACTCCTCCCCCAGCACCTGCGAGCGTTGCCCACTCGCTGCCTTCTCTAATGCGGCTCATTATGGACAGCAAAGGGCGTTTACAGAAACAAAGAGCAGTTCTGAGCCCTGGGTCCAGAACCACTGCCCCCCGCCCAGCTCCGAGCCAGGCCAGGGCACCCACCTGCCAGCACACAGCTAGCACAAGTCTGACGATGAGATTAGACAGCTCACCACACCCCGCAGGCTGGGAGCTCTACGAGCCTGAACTCTGTCCCACCCCCTCGCTTACCCTCCCCTTAACTCTGACCCCTCAGCCCAGGGGATCTTGGTGCTCACAGGCAAGGGTGTGCGAAGTACCTGAGATCCTCAGCCTGTGCTATCAATTTGGTGCAGAAAGAGTTACTCTCCGAGTCTGAGCCTAGCTGGAACCTGTGCCTGTATAGGGAGGGTAAATGGGGGAACTACCAACGCAGTGCACAGGGGTCAGAGAGATGCTGCAGGGGGGCAGGGCAGGTAGCCCCGCTATAAGTAGCTAGGGGTTCACAGCTTGCAGACTAGCAGGGAGCTTCCCCGGGGTCAGAGATGTCAAGCTGGGGGACCGTTCTGCCATCCCACTCAGCCTCCCGCAAAGCCCAGGGCAGGGCTCTCCCCCAGGCACTCCTGCACCCGGCCCAGCTCGGCGACTGAGCTAGAGTGGGGCTGTCAGAGAGACGCCTGGCCTGGATTCACTGACATACACTCCCCCACCAGCTCAGTTGTTCCAAAGGGGGAAAATCTGCTCCTTATTCCCAGCCGGGGCAGCTCTCGTCCAGGCCCTGCCTGCCAGAGCCAAGGGCCACCTGCTGCAGAGCCCCCTCCCCTGCCCAGATTGGGCTCTGGGCACCTGCAGCCCGCGCTCACGGCACCGCTGACCCCTCCCCTGCCCAGACCGGGCTCCGGGCACCTGCAGATCGCGCTCACAGCACCGCTGACCCCTCCCCTGCCCAGACCGGGCTCCAGGCACCTGCAGCCCACGCTCACGGCACCGCTGACCCCTCCCCTGCCCAGACCGGGCTCCGGGCACCTGCAGATCGCGCTCACGGCACCGCTGACCCCTGCCCTGCCCAGACCGGGCTCCTGCAGCCCGCGCTCACGGCACCACTGACCCGTCCCCTCAAGACACTAACCCAGCGAGCTCCAGCTGGATTCCCAGCCCTTGAATCGCTCTGGGATGCTGGAGGCAGCTCAGAGCACAGTCAAAGCTGGGGCTTGTGGCTTGGCTATTTCCAGATGTTCTGGCTCAAGCCTCTCAGACACATGGCATCTCCATTCCCTTAGCGAGAGGCCCGCACAGTGGGCACCAGCAGGCAGCCCCAGCAGGGCACTCAGGGCCACGGGGCCCTTTTCACTCCAAGTAGCCCACGCGAGCCGCTTTGCAGAGACCGGGTCTGTGCACCCGCTCCGAGGCACCGGCAGGAGCCCACCTGGGCAAGCTGTGTCCGAGGGGTCTGTCCCACCTGTAATTCACGCGGCTTTATCCTCCCACCGCCAGGCCACGGGCTCCACCGTCACTGGCCCACGGCTCTGCCACGCCACGAATTCCACCCACGCCTGCGGGGCCAGAGACGGAGACGTCCTCACTAGGCACCAGCACCTGCAACAGAGGGGGCACAGCTCAGCACCCCTGGGCCTGGTGTCTGTATGGGGGGGTCACACCCCCGCCGGACCCTGATGGGGGGGTCACAGCCCGGTCCTGCCCTGCATTGGGGGGGTCACACCCCGGTCCCGCCCTGCATTGGGGGGGGGTCACACCCCCGCCGGACCCTGATGTGGGGGTCACAGGCCATTCCTGCCCTGCATTGGGGGGGGTCACACCCCCGCCAGGCCCTGATGGGGGGGGTCACAGCCCGGTCCTGCCCTGCATTGGGGGGGGGGTCACACCCCCGCCGGGCCCTGATGGGGGGGGTCACAGCCCGGTCCCGCCCTGCATTGGGGGGGGTCACAGCCCCGCCGGGCCCTGCATTGGGGGGGGGTCACACACCCCGGTCCTGCCCTGCATTGGGGGGGGTCGACACCCCCGCCGGACCCTGCATGGGGGGGGTCACAGCCCGGTCCTGCCCTGCATTGGGGGGGTCACACCCCCGCCGGGCCCTGATGGGGGGGTCACAGCCCGGTCCTGCCCTGCATTGGGGGGGTCACACCCCC